TGTAAAATAATATGTAATCACTAAAGAACTTGCCCTTTCCTCAAACCACACAGTTTATTATAGCATAGGCAAACAGTGAGTTTACTTATGAACATGAAAGGAAACTGTGGGATTTGGTCCCAACTACCAGCAGTATCCTAGAGGGGCAGGTTTGGAATTAGTAAGCAGTACTCATCCATGGTGACATCAATGTTGCGTTAACATCACTGAAATTTTATCTTGTTATCTTGTTAAGTGTATTGTTGCTAAGTATAAGTGTAACACTTACAGAAATATTTACCTTTTATAGAATTTTTGAAGAAAAGACAAAGAAGTATTATGTGCCTAAGAGCCCTCATCAAGACATAACATGTACAAGATATGACCAGGGGCGGACTGACAACTCATAGGGCCCCCGGGCAATAGGGGATCATGGGGCCCCTGTGTCCTTACCCACACTCAAAAAAGTCTATGAAAGGTACTAGGGGCATCTCATGGGGCCCCCTTCTGACCGTGGGCCCTCGGGCAGTGCCCGAGTGCACGAATGGTCAGTCCACCTCTGAATATGACAGATCTAAGCAGGTTTAAAGCTGGGCAGATGTCTCTCTGTCAGAATACCATATGCATTGCACAGCTACCCTAACACTACTAAAGTAATGAGAATATGCTTATTTAAAAAATAAAATAAAAAAACATAAACTACATTTACAAAACAGCAGGAACATCTATGAGATTAAATTAACAGATCATCAGACTTCTATGTGTAAGAAGGTTATGTAAGGTTAAAATAATTCTTAAAGTACCAAAAGCTGCAGTGAGGTGTATTAATATGTAGTCTACAGATTAAGGAAATCACTTATTTAAAAGAGCTTTCGTTACTGAGCAAATCCCTGACATATCAGAGTTGCAGCTTTGCAGTTACAAGCAGAGCTGACCCCTATGAAGAGAATTCTCCATGACAGAGCATCTTGCTTGACAGTTGGTTAAAGATCAGGAATTAATTTGCTTGTTGTGTCTGTGTGCTGCGTTTATGTCACCGTAGAAATGGCGAGCTATCATCACAAATGACAAGATGAGAACAAGTCAGCTAGTGTGAACACTATACACTTTCACAAATTATACTTTACTTTCTCTCTATGTCCCTTAAAAGAAATATGTCAGATTTTTCTTCTAATATTCAGTACATGTTAAGAATATTAATCAGTAATACAGTTAAATCTACACACACTGATTGCTTTTTCTACTAAATTTGGAGTAGGGATTGGCAGAATAACTAATGTTGTAACAAAATCACCAATTTCACCACTTTAATTTTTTTACTGTTTTTTGTTTATTTAGGGTAGTTTTATTTAATTTAAAGTACAGCTCATTGCATAAACCTGTAGTATGGCCTTATTGCATCCATACTGCTGCTTTGCAGAAAAACCTAATGGGAGGCTGCTTTTTTGGCACAGCCAGTCCAGGATATTTAAAAGAAGCTTTTATAACCCTAAGAAGCCATTTAAAAAGAAGAAGCTATTGCTCATAGGGAAAGGCATTCCCTGGGTTTTCCCTCTCCAGAATGTTAGATGGATGACTTTTCATGAATCCAGGGGCTTCTTCCAATTTTATATCATGCAGACTGCAAAAAAAAATTAAATAAGCTCAAATATTAATTGAACAATGCTTTTATCGTTTTGTTTTCTTTTTTTACATGTTTGCTTTCATTATTGCTCTAAACAGGGAAACGATAGGAGGAGTGAGTGGATATGTAGGTTAATGGGTGGTGTGGGAGGTCAGGATTAAGTTGGCCAAACGCGGATCGAAATGTAGCCAGTTCAGCAGGGAATTGCCGAATTTCGATCCATGTGTGGTCACTGCTTGTGAACAGAAGTCAATCTACCAATTGACTTATGTTCAACCACCCAGTCAGATAATAATTACTTGATCAGTGCTGAAGGCAATAGGCTGCAGCACTAATCTGTATTTCTTGACAATGAAGGAGTCTCCTGCTGAGTCACAGGAGTCCCCCGGGAAGAAAAGACGGATGGATGTATACAAAATCATGTTCAGCAATGGTCCAATACTGTATAGCTACCATTTTAACTGCCAGTCTCTTCTTCACCTGCAATTGGCTAGTATACAGATATGGAAAGAACCTTAAAGGGAAACTGTCAGAACAGAAATATAAGGTCTACTGTTGCTGATTTTATTTTTATAAAGATGAAAGATATAGAGCTGTCATTCTCATCCTGGCTTCACTGCCTAGTGAGTCACTAACCAGGACAGCAACGGCAATTGCCATTTTTCTACCCTGATAAGTTAATGTTCATAAACTTTCATTCCTGTTGAAAGAATCCTCCAGTGGTGGAAGAGAAAGTTGAAATTCCTACACACGGGGGGGATTTTGATCTCACCTGTCCTGTGAGCATCTGGACAGGGCTGTAAACCATTGAGTCCTGTGTGCAGCTCTTTGGAACCTATTGCTAAAGTCTGGGCTCATAGAAAACACACTGGCAAAAGATCATCTTTTAGTATATCTACTTTCAAATGCATACGCGTTATAAATGGATAAAGTTGGGGGTATGGTAAAAGATCGTAAAGAGAAGCGTGAAGGAAAGAAGTGCAGGTACAGGTATGCCAGCGGGCAATATGTGCAGGATAAAGTGTGGAGGGTCTGACAGCAAGCAGTACATAAAGAGAACTGTGTGAAGGGTAGGCCAGCAGGCAGTATGTGCAGGAGGCTATGACAGCAAGCAGTATGTGCAAAAGAGAAGTGCAGAGGGTATAACCGTGGGCAGTACATGCAAGAGAAGTATGTAAAGGGTCGGCCAGCATGCAGTATGTGCAAGAGAAGAGTGTAGAAGGTGCGACAGCAAGCAGTATGTGCAGGAGAGGCATATGGAGGATATGACAGTGGGGATGAGGAGATGAGTGTGGAGGGTATGACAGTGGACTGTATGTGGAGGAAAAGAGTGTGGAAGGTATGACAGTGGAAAGTATGTGCAGAAGTGGAGTGTGGAGGGTATGACAGTGGAAAGTATGTGCAGAAGAGGAGTGTGGAGGGTATGATGACAGTGGAAAGTATGTGCAGAAGCGGAGTGTGGAGGGTATGATAGTGGAAAATATGTGCAGAAGAGGAGTGTGGATGTCAGGAATGGACTGGCCAGCAATGGTGGGACTCACCTGCCTTATGAGCTGCAGTACCAGGGCTGGCCAGCGGGTGCTCCCAGCAATCAGAGACTCAACCTTGCAGCCAGTCAAACACCTGGAACTGATTATACTGGTGTATTTAAGGGATGGCCGGACCTGCAGACTCTGCCTTGGTGTGTGTTTCTCCTGGGCCCTGTATCCTGTTCCTGCTCCCTGTTCCTGTTCCTGTTCCTGTCTGATTCGTTGCTGACCCTGCTCTGATCCCTGGCTGTGTCTGACCATTCTCCTGCTCCTGATCCCTGGCTTGTCTGACCATTCTCCTCTGCCTGACCCTCTGTACCACGCTGCCCGCTACCTGCTGAACCTGGCTTGTGACCCCGACCATTCTCCGCTTGCTCCCCCTGTACCTACCTGCCCGATTGATATTGACCCGGCCTGCCTGACGACGCTTGTATTGTATGTACTGTCATCTGTGGGTGGTTGGTTTGGTTTGTTTGCACTGTGTTATGTTTTAGTATTGCACTGCGTTTATGTTTGTATTGTTAGTGTTAATAAATTATATTGTTTATAACATATCTGAAGTCTGCGTTTCCCTGCGTCAGTCACACACCTCTGGTCATACCCGGGAGCCCTGACATTACACCAAGGCCAATCCTGACCAGAAGTGGCTGCACAGGGAAGCCATCTTGGTTTGTTGATGGGAAGGATGGATCTTGATGAGGTTGTGTATTTATATCTGCTAGTGTTTGATGACAGAGACTATGCTTATCAAACTCTGAAGGAGTATCCCCGGGATGAACTGCTAGAATGTATATGGCTCACTCATGTTCTAGTAGATCAGGGCACAGAATTCTCTGAGGTGCAGCCATTGATTCAGATTTGTGCGGAGTTGCTTTCATCTGGTACCCCCGAATGCAGGGATGAATTTTTGCTGCCATTTAGTGCCGACCAGGTAGAGTCCCTGGTATGGTTATTAGAGGATGATGTGGATTGCTTCTTGGAGCATTATGCTGCATGTTCACCACAGATACTAAGAGATTGTATAAACGCAGTGCAGTCTTTGGTCAGACAGGCTTTGTGTAAGCTCAGCTTTGTTCAACCCATACTGCAGACATGGACAGATTTGTTGCACCCAGCCTCAGTCAGCTTACAAAAACCCAGTCCTGCTTCTAATCTATTTCCTCAAAGCTCTATTCCTGCATTCCCAACAGCTCCTCCTGCCCTGCTATCTACCGCATGTCAGTACCCTGTTCCCACTCGCTGCACCTATCCTGCCTTTAACCCTGTAAAAAAGCCCTCTGTAGCAACTGCTCCCTCCTCTGTTCCATCCTCCAGCTCTTCTCTGTCTCCAGCTGCTCCATTCGTTTGCAGACCTGCGTTTACTTGCAGTGCTCCAGTAGTTAAAACCAGAAAAAAGCGAAAATTCTTTCCAACCAGTACCATCCTGCCAGTATCCAAACCGGTGAGCCTGCCGTCTGAGAACCTGCCTTCCGTGGTTCAGCCTGGTGCCTCGGCACCCGCACTTCAGCCTGAGGTCTGTACCCAGCCTGATGCCTGTACCCAGCCTGATGCCTGTACCCAGCCTGATGCCTGTACTTCAGCCTGATGTCTTTCAGCCTGATGCCCTCTCTTCAGCCTGATGCCTCTCTTCAGCCTGATCCTCTCTCTTCAGCCTGATGCCTCTCTTCAGCCTGATGCCTCTACTCAGCCTGATGCCTCCACTCAGCCTGATGCCTCCACTCAGCCTGATGCCTCTACCCAGCATGATGAACTGATCCAGCCTGATGATCCTATTAGGCCAGTTGACTTGATGCCCGTTGTTGATCCAGATGATCCGGTACCTGATCCGGTGCCCGCTGTCATGCCAATTGACTCAGAGCCCACTGTCGTACCTGGTGACTCGGTGCCCACTGCCTTGCCAGATGACGCGGTGCCCGCTGGCGAGCCAAATGACCTGATGCCTGGTGACCCAGTGCCCGCTGTCATACCTGGTGACCCGATGCCCGCTGTCGAGCCAGACGATCCAATGCCTGGTGACCCGGTGCCCGCTGTCGTGCCAATTGACTCAGAGCCCACTGTCGTGCCGGGTGACTTGGTGCCCACTGTCTTGCCAAGATGACGCGGTGCCCGCTATTGAGCCAAATGACCTGATGCCTGGTGACCCGATGCCCGCTGTCCAGCCAGACGATCCAATGTCTGACCCAGTGCCCGCGGTCATACCAGTTGACTCGGAGCCCACTGCCTTGCCAGATGACGCAGTGCCCGCTGTCGAGCCAAATGACCTGATGCCTGGTGACCCGATGCCCGCGGTCCAGCCAGACGATCCAATGTCTGACCCAGTGCCAGCGGTCATGCCAGTTGACTCGGAGCCCACTGTCGTGCCTGGTGACTCGGTGCCCGCCGCTCCGCCTGGGGGCCCGAGACCTGTCGCTCCACCTGGGGGTCCGTGCCCGCCGCTCCGCCTGGGGGCCCGAGACCTGTCGCTCCGCCTGGGGGTCCGGCGCCCGCCGCTCCGCCTGGGGGCCCGAGACCTGTCGCTCCGCCTGGGGGTCCGGCGCCCGCCGCTCCGCCTGGGGGCCCGAGACCTGTCGCTCCGCCTGGGGGTCCGGCCTGGGCTCCGGTGGGGGCCCGAGACCTGTCGCTCCGCCTGGGGGTCCGGCGCCCGCCGCTCCGTCTGGGGGCCCTAGACCTGTTGCTCCGCCTGGGGGTCCGGCGCCCGCCGCTCCGCCTGGGGGCTTGATGCCCGTCGCTCCGCCTGGGGGTCCGGCGCCCACCGCTCCGCCTGGGGGCCCGATGCCTGTCGCCCTGCCCGGGGGCCCGATGCCTGTCGCCCGGCCCGGGGGCCCGGTGCCTGTCGCCCCCCGCCTGGGGGCCCGGTGCCTGTCGCCCCGCCTGGGGGCCCGGTGCCTGTCGCCCTGCCCGGGGGCCTGGTGCCTGTCGCCCCGCCCGGTGGCCCGGTGCCTGCTGTCTGCTCCGCCCCGGTGGCCCGGTGCCTGCTGCTCCGCCCGGTGGCTGCTGCCTGCTGCTTCGCCTGGTAATCCGATGTGCCTCTGCCCGGAGTCCAGCCAGATGTGCCTCTGCCCGGAGTCCAGCCCGATGTGCCTCTGCCCGGAGTCCAGCCCGATGTGCCTCTGCCCGGAGTCCAGCCCGATGTGCCTCTGCCCGGAGTCCAGCCCGATGTGCCTCCCGCCCGATGTGCCTCTGCCCGGAGTCCAGCCCGATGTGCCTCTGCCCGGAGTCCAGCCCGATGTGCCTCTGCCCGGAGTCCAGCCCGATGTGCCTCTGCCCGGAGTCCAGCCCGATGTGCCGCTGCCCGATGTTCCGCTGCCCGGTGTGCCCCTGCCCGGTGTGCCGCTGCCCGGAGTCCTGCCCGGTGTGTGCCACTGCCCGGACTGCCCGGTGTGCCAGTCTTTGATATCCCGCCAGTTACTAGACCCGGGCGGTGGAACATTTTGCCCAGCTAGGACTGTTTGGAGCGTCCTGAGGCCGCTCCTTGAGGGGGGGGGGGGTACTGTCAGGAATGGACTGGCCAGCAATGGTGGGACTCACCTGCCTTATGAGCTGCAGTACCAGGGCTGGCCAGCGGGTGCTCCCAGCAATCAGAGACTCAACCTTGCAGCCAGTCAAACACCTGGAACTGATTATACTGGTGTATTTAAGGGATGGCCGGACCTGCAGACTCTGCCTTGGTGTGTGTTTCTCCTGGGCCCTGTATCCTGTTCCTGCTCCCTGTTCCTGTTCCTGTCTGATTCGTTGCTGACCCTGCTCTGATCCCTGGCTTGTCTGACCATTCTCCTCTGCCTGACCCTCTGTACCACGCTGCCCGCTACCTGCTGAACCTGGCTTGTGACCCTGACCATTCTCCGCTTGCTCCCCCTGTACCTACCTGCCCGATTGATATTGACCCGGCCTGCCTGACGACGCTTGTATTGTATGTACTGTCATCTGTGGGTGGTTGGTTTGGTTTGTTTGCACTGTGTTATGTTTTAGTATTGCACTGTGTTTATGTTTGTATTGTTAGTGTAATAAATTATATTGTTTATAACATATCTGAAGTCTGCGTTTCCCTGCGTCAGTCACACACCTCTGGTCATACCCGGGAGCCCTGACAGTGGAGGGTATGATAGTGGAAAATATGTGCAGGAGAGGAGTGTGGAGGGTATGACAGTGGAAAGTATGTGCAGAAGAGGAGTGTGGAGGGTATGATAGTGGACTCCATATAGAGGATAGGGATATGGAGGATATGGCATATGGAGGATATGACAGTGGGGATGAGCAGAGGAGTGAGGAAGGTATGACAGTGGACTGTATGTGGATGAAAAGAGTGTGGAGGGTATGATAGTGGACCATATGTGGAGGAGAGGAGTGTGGAGGGTATGACAGTGGAAAGTATGTGCAGGAGAGGAGTGTGGAGGGTATGACATTGGAAAGTATGTGTAGGAGAGGAGTGTGGAGGGTATGACAGCAGAAGGTATGTACAGGACAGATGTGTGGAGAGTATGACTGTGGGCAGTATGTGATGAGAGGAGTGTGGAGGGTATGACAGTGGAAAGTATGTGCAGAAGAGGAGTGTGGAGGGTATGATAGTGGACTCCATATAGAGGATAGGAGTGTGTTGGATATGACAGCAGACAGTATGTGCAGGAGAGGCATATGGAGGATATGACAGTGGGGATGAGCAGAGGAGAGGAAGGTATGACAGTGGACTGTATGTGGATGAAAAGAGTGTGAAGGGTATGATAGTGGACCATATGTGGAGGAGAGGAGTGTGGAGGGTATGATAGTGGACCATATGTGGAGGAGAGGAGTGTGGAGGGTATTACAGTGGAAAGTATGTGCAGGAGAGGAGAGTGAGGGGGTATGACATTGGAAAGTATGTGTAGGAGAGGAGTGTGGAGGGTATGACAGCAGAAGGTATGTACAGGACAGATGTGTGGAGGGTATGACTATGGGCAGTATGTGCAGGAGAGGAGTGTGGAGGGTATGACTGTGGGCAGTATGTGCATGAGAGGAGTGTGGAGGGTATGACAGTGGGCAGTATGTGCAGGAGAGGAGTGTGGAGGGTATGACAGTGGGCAGTATGTGCAGGAGAGGAGTGTGGAGGTATGACAGTGGGGCAGTATGTGCAGGAGAGGAGTGTGGTATGACTGTGGGCAGTATGTGCAGGAGAGGAGAGTGTGGTGGGTATGACAGTGGGCAGTATGTGCAGGAAAGGAGTGTGGAGGGTATGACAGTGGGCAGTATGTGCAGGAGAGGAGTGTGGAGGGTATGACTGTGGGCAGTATGTGCAGGAGAGGAGTGTGGAGGGGTATGACAGTGGGCAGTATGTGTAGGAGAGGAGTGTGGAGGGTATGACAGCAGAAGGTATGTACAGGACAGATGTGTGGAGAGTATGACTGTGGGCAGTATGTGCATGAGAGGAGTGTGGAGGGTATGACTGTGGGCAGTATGTGCATGAGAGGAGTGTGGAGGGTATGACAGTGGGTAGTATGTGCAGGAGAGGAGTGTGGAGGGGGTATATGACTGTGGGCAGTATGTGCATGAGAGGAGTGTGGGAGGGTATGACAGTGGGCAGTATGTGCAGGAAAGGAGTGTGGAGGGTATGACTGTGGGCAGTATGTGCATGAGAGGAGTGTGGTGGGTATGACAGGGGGCAGTGTGTGCAGGAGAGGAGTGTGGAGGGTATGACTGTGGTCAGTATGTGCATGAGAGAGTGTGTGGAGGGTATGAGAGTGGGCAGTATGTGCAGGAGAGGAGTGTGGGAGGGTATGACAGTGGGTAGTATGTGCAGGAGAGGAGTGTGGTGGGTATGACAGGGGGCAGTGTGTGCAGGAGAGGAGTGTGGAGGGTATGACTGTGGGCAGTATGTGCATGAGAGGAGTGTGGTGGGTATGACAGTGGAAAGTATGTCCAGGAGAGGAGTGTGGAGGGTATGACAGCAGAAGGTATGTACAGAAGGTATGTACAGGACAGATGTGTGGAGGGTATGACTATGGGCAGTATGTGCAGGAGAGGAGTGTGGAGGGTATGACTGTGGGCAGTATGTGCATGAGAGGAGTGTGGAGGGTATGACAGTGGGCAGTATGTGCAGGAGAGGAGTGTGGAGGGTATGACAGTGGGCAGTATGTGCAGGAGAGGAGTGTGGTGGGTATGACAGTGGGCAGTATGTGCAGGAGAGGAGTGTGGAGGGTATGACTGTGGGCAGTATGTGCAGGAGAGGAGTGTGGTGGGTATGACAGTGGGCAGTATGTGCAGGAAAGGAGTGTGGAGGGTATGACAGTGGGCAGTATGTGCAGGAGAGGAGTGTGGAGGGTATGACTGTGGGGCAGTATGTGCAGGAGAGGAGTGTGGAGGGTATGACAGTGGGCAGTATGTGCAGGAGAGCTATGGTGACAACTCCATCTCCTAGGTGCTATAGGGGGAAGCTGGATTAAGGAAAATATATCTACTAACTTTTTTATCCACAGGTTTTTTTTTCTTTTAAGGCAGTATTTTGGGATTGGTAGGTGGACCTAATTAAATAAGCAGACCTTGCTAGTTTATTACAAGGTCTGCTTTAAGAAGGTGCATTCTCACTCCTAATAATTTCAGTGGCTTTACTACAGAAGAGATATCAAGCTCTTCTTTTCTTAAATGTAATCATAAATCATACCAAGCTACATAACAAAGGAGTGTTACATCTGATGCTTAGTCACACTATAACTTTAGAACGTTTCCATGAAGGGAATACTCTCTGATTTACAACCTCAATTCTGCCCATCTGTAATAAAGTACAGGCAGCGCACAAGGATACATAACCTATAAATTCTAAAAGCCTTTGAAGTGCTGTAGATTATCATATATCAGGATCAGTTCAAGGATGGTTCATTGTAGCCAAGGACCAGCTGGGGGTATAGCATGACTAAGAATACTATTTCAAAACCAAGTCTTAATAACTTTGTAGTTTTATGACTTTTTCCAACATTATATGTTTTCTTTGATATAAAGGCCAGTATTTCTTATAGGAACAATTGAGTACTGTCCGTGATACTTTTTTTATTTGCACTAACATACAATTTTGAGGACAAGCTTTCGGGAATGTTCCCTTCTTCAGGTCTAAGCAGTACTGCTTAGACCGAAGAAGGGGACATTCCCCGAAAGCTTGTCCTCAAAATTGTATTTTAGTGCAAATAAAAAAAAAGTATCACGGACAGTACTCAATTGTTCCTGTCGCAAATGCACTAATACGGCTACAATCACCTCAAGCAGTATTTCTTATGAATTCCAAAAAGGCATCCAACACAGGATACCTAAATATAAAAAGAACCTCTTACAGCTAAAAACATAAGAAAATACAGGTGGGAGATTTAGCCCCCACATTTTCCTCATTGACTATAATCAGTGCAGTAGGTGCCTTTGATGTCATTTAAATGTCCCAAATGTTCTTATAAACATTCATTATGGAATATCCTTCCTTTATCATATCTCTAATGTGTATTTTCCTGTAGGCAAACCCAGAATAGACATAAAAACCCTATAGCATCTTTTCAACAGTGTAATATGCTTTGGCCATTGTACAATGGATATCTATTTTATAACACAGATGTTGACTTGACGCTGTCTCAAAGGGCCTCAAAAATCAATATGAAAGGTTGCACAGGCTATTTTGCAAGACACAGCAAAGTATGTTTAGGTCAGATTAATGGTTAATGGTAGCTGTACAGCCCAAGTATCTCTGTGCATGCAGCAAGGGTCAGTGTTTGTCCATGAGTTCATACATTGCTGTCTTGTTCCAATGATAAATAGTCGTAGTAGATATGCTGACCTTTTTTTTTTTGCTTAGACTGTATAGCATATGGATAATATCTTTCCGATACTCCCTCATCCACCCCCACCAGTGTAAAACATAAACCAACTAAATGTCCACATATAAGTCCAAAATAAAGTGCTTTTCAATAAATGGTGCTTTTCAAACGTTGAGGAATATTCCACTTTGCTGAATTTCAGTCCAGGACCTCAAATCAGGATACCTCAAAAAAATATAAACTCAATATAGTGTATTATCATTACAACAGAACACTCGTGAGAACTAAAGGTGATCCTCCTAGACTCCCACCCGTGATGAAAAAACACTCCAAAATGTGATACAGTGCAACACTCCACACCAGTGTTACCATTAAAATAAACTAAATCCCATTATCCTCTGATAAAACCATGCATCCAAATGAGATAGTGCCATCTCTCTTATAATATAAATACTATTACCCTCTTTCAATGTAAACCAAGCAAAAAACTCCTCCAAGGCAGTCCCGAGTTTCCCCTTCTTCGGAAGCTTCTAATTGCTTCCAATCCACCTTCCCAGTTCCTCAATAGGGGGCAGATAATACAAGACTCAATGAAGTATATATAAAAGGATTTTACAAATTTATTCGTAGCTTACATAGAAGACGCCAACGTCCATCCTCTCCCACACAATCCATACAGCTGAATTCCAGTGTTCAAGATGGCCGTGCCGCTCCTTCCGGTTTGAGATTGTATTGTACGTCCTTACGTCCTTGACGCGTTTCGTCACTTCCGACTTGTTCACAAGGGTTCCGGACGTCCAATGTGCGGCTCCTCTTATCCTACTCTCAGCACTGGCAAAAAGAGCGAGCCTCCATCTTAACTAATGGCAACACCCACCACTTCCTATGCCTTCTATATACGGCTTTAATAAACGGAAAGGCGGACTGCATTTTATACATCTAAAACCCATTCACTGATTAAAACATTCACCTATTGGGAGAA